TCAGGAGGTTCATGTTGACCCAGTGGCTGCCATCCACCGGGAACACCAGAATCTTTCCGCCCTGGACACTGGGACTTGTCAGGAGGGACACACTCACCGCCAGAAGCAGAAGTGAAACTACTGGGATGCTCCCCATGGATTCACTCTAAGGGAAAAGAACAAACGTTAAATGTGAGCAAAGACTGTTATGATGAGTTTTACTTCACACTTGATGTGTTATTATTTTTACTGAATACTTCCTCCATCATTGTTCCTATTATTAATTATCAAGACAAAATGTAGTTCGGGTTCTTTATTTTTTTTAAAGGTATTTTTGGGGGCTTTTATTGTCTTTATGATAGTGACAGCTGAAGATGGACAGGAAAGGGGGCCAGAGAGAGGGGATGACACGGAGCAAAGGGCCGCAGGTCAGATTCGGACCCAGGGCCGCTGCAGCAAGGACTCAGCCTCGTTACATGGGTCGCCAGCTCTACCCACTGAGCTAACCGGTTGCCGCTTTGTCTGCAAATTCTAAATCTGCAGCGTAGATTTACAGAAGAAACCAGAGGGAAATGACTACATGGACACACACAAAGCCCACAGTAATAAAACCTGAGATGTCGGTCCAACAGATCAAAGTCCAGTGGAATGCATGGACTGACTAATGCCTGGCGTTACTATGGTCTCTAATCTTATTCAGCAGGGACTCACTAACAGGATAAATACACATAGCAGTATCTACATTCATAACATGCCTATTGTTGAGACTGAAAAGGGAATCTAACATCATGCAGTCTTGCATACAGATCAGCAAATTCCCGTGATCAAAAACCCTGACCCGGTTTGGGTCCTTGTTTCTTGGTTGAGTTAACGTTGGCTTGAAGAAAGTGGAAAAGGACGAAAGGCATAATCTCATAGCCACGCTGGTACTGGAGTTTTCCACAATACTCTACTATTTCTAACATATCAACCTTATCAAGACCAGTTGTACGGCTACTATTTTATCATACATCAACAAAACAGAGGCCACACATACTCCAAATGTTACGGTTGAGTTGTGGGCAAAGAAAAACAGGAGCTCAGCAAGGTGTACCGCTCAGCTAACTCAAGACAGGTTAGGCGCTGTGTGATGACACTTCTCTCGTATCTAGGCAACGCAGTCTCTTAAAGGCACATTTCACAATTTTGGCTGTTACAAACTGTTGAAAGTAGAGTTATTTAAAGTCCTGCACAAGTTAGTGTCAGCAAAGTCTTCAAAGCATTTAACTGAGTTTGTTCGTGTATTGTAGAGAAACGAGAACATTTTGTAACTTACCTTAAATCTGTAAAACAGTGGAGAAATGTACTGTGAGCCTCCTCTGGACAAGTAAAGCTCAGGGGCTGCAGGAATCTAGAACTCCAAACCCGATTATTGTGTTACGTAAGGAAGAGTGAAGTGGGGGAGGAGCCCACCCTCTGTCTGTGCTGCATACACACTCACAGAGGAGACCACCAACCCAACAAACACCCAAAACCGTTTTTGTGGAGAAAATCTCACCTGCTGTGGCGTGCACAATGAGCTCATCCTGCAAAATAAATATCCAGGAAAGGGCAGTTCTAACATCCTTGAGTACTTCATATTTTTTTAATAGGTGGAGTCTTAAATCTATAGCTTGCTAGCTAATTGGACCAAATGAGACTGTAACAAGAAAACCTCTCAGTGTGTTTAATTCTGCAAGGGTGCATTTTATTGCTTATGACTTTAACTTCTCATTGGTAAGACAAGGAATGTACATACAGATGCAGTATTGGACAGGTTAGCCAAAGTGTACTACATTCACACAATCAGATTATAGTTGAAGATGCCTTAATAACATGACATTGCTTTAACTGTTTATATTTTTCAAAAAAAGCAAAGAAAAGTGGCCTCTCTTAATTTCTATATTCACACCATTGCAGTAACTTGCTGCTCGGAAGGCGGCAGATAGGAAGAGCACGGATTTTGCTCTTCACCGTGCTGAACTTTGTTAACTAGCTAATGACCAGCCAGCTAACTAGATAGCTATCAATTGATGTAAATTAGCTAGCTACATTAGCTAACTTAAGATGTGACTACGTGTTGATTTAATCTTTTAACCAGCTTAAAATTTGGTTTTCTTTACAACATTGATTAGCCTGGCATGTAGCATGTGCAAGAGCAAGTATAGGAAAGGAGAAAGTTGACCGAGGCTTGCTCAACTGTTATCGGAGCACACAGCAAAACGGGATTACAGACGAAGAGCATTCTGTGCTCCTGAGGGTCAACATCACAGAAGTTTATATTCATACAACGCTCGTCTTTTTGTTGAATGTCAAATGCTGCGTCGGTTGTCGTTTTTCACTGGCCAGCCAAATGCGTTACAGGTAGAACAGCAGTTATGTGCTTCAATATTATTCTTTATGTCATTTTCATGGCTTTACAGTTAGGACCAATTGTTTGATCTATGACCCCAAAAAGGCAGATATTCCACTCTGTCTTTGTATTACCTTAAACAGATATATAGGTAGTGCAAAGACAGTAACTACAATCGTAGTGTCTAATCTAACACTAATTTATTTCTCATTACATTAAATCTGTATTCCTTATCGTTTGTATGGTTAAAAGGTTTAAATGGATGAGTAATTAAGAAAAAAAATCAACCAATCCTCAAATATGTTGAGACTTCAATCTATTAAGATGGCTTGACGTATTTATTTTAATTGTAAAATGTATGTAAACCTGTTTTTAGAATTAAATTCTTGTCTTATAAACAAGTCTATAACTCAATTTTTAACAAAATGCTAGTAACTACGGTTTGCCTTTGTAGGGCAGTATACACTATATACAGTAAAGTAGAATATGATAAATCTGTGTATAGCTGTGCAATGTTTCGAAGTATTGTGCAAAAAAGGAGTTGTGTTTAACGGGTTAAGAGTGAGAATGTACCAGGATTAAAACATTTCAGGAGGCACTAGACAACAAATAAAATCATATAAAAAGGTGAGGTACAATAAAAATGATTAAATCAGTAAAAAAAAAAATTAACATTACATCAGACAAAACATTCGCACTAGGGCCACATAATAAAACAGTTACAATATACAAATAAAGGAATAACATACCTATTTTGTCTTTTTCATTAGTATATTGGAGGAACTAAAAACAGTATCCACCAGGCAATTTATCATAAGTTAGCTTTTTATTTTCAGAAAGTATACATTTCAACAGATATAACAGCCTGCATTATATTTCTAACCCTAATCCCTATCCTTATTAAAACAGACAGGCAGATAAGTGTGTTTTTATACATCTTGTGAAATTTCCGATACACTGCTGTTAAAAGTAAGTATAGGCACACAGTTGTCCTCTGAAATAAAATCAATGTATACTCCTACTTTTGTCCATTTTGGTGGATGGAATAGTGAAAAGTGTGCAGATGTTTAGATTGTTTTGCATCCAGCATCTTTTGGACTTGTGATGGTGAGAATCTCCAAACACATAAAATATCTTAAGTATCTTAAGCTTGTGTTTGTTGGACAGTATTCATTTGGATGAATATATGGGTTCATTTTTGTAATCATGGAGGGAAACAGTTTGAAAGATGGAAACATTCAGCAGCAGCAGCATACATTACTTCGATTTTGACAAACAAAACTAGATTTGAATTTATCGAGACATTTCAGTATTTCAACCACAAATGCCAATCTCAGGGCAGCATTAGTGGTTCACCAAAGTTATTAGAATTAATAGTCTGGGAATCATGAATGTCTGTACAAAGTTTGGTGCCAGTCAATCTTTTGGCTGTTGAGATATTTCACTGGAGAAATAAAAACGTTGACCTTATGATAGAGGAAAAGGTCAATGTATTACCAATAATTGTCCTTTGAGCACCATGGATATCTGCATCAAATTTAATGGGAATCCATCCAACAGTTGTCAAGACATTTCAATGAGAACTGGAACTGGCAATTACTCAGATTACCAAAAGAATTTGGATATATGCTGTTGGGGGACAACGAATGAGCAATTTCAGTCTCAACCACACTGGTGGATTGACCAATCGACTGACACCACCATCCCTGGAGAAGGACTTATCCTTTAAGATGACTTGTTCCTTTCAATGAACATTAATCTGATGTGAGAAATCAGTAACTACTCCTGCTTGGGTTTTCTCCTCCTGCACAGTCTGAAGCAAAGGAATCGTATGGATCCCACTACAATGGCTATCAGTGTAAACAAGACTGCAGTCAAAAAGCATATAACATCCACAGAATAATAGGCATACCAGGGCATCTTGTAAGACTCAGTGCGTAAATGTGAAGCTCCTTTGTGCCTGATAACAAACTCAACCCAGTAAACGGCAGTGTCCAGAGGATGCATTGGTTTATCTCGATGGAGAGCAGAGAGACGCTTCATGTTATTTCTGTAGGAGGGATTGTGAAGAACTTCTTGTATTGTTTCCAGAAAGTTCTGGTGAGTGATTTTGGTTGCATCCACCACCTTAGCGACTCCTTGCACTTCTAATCTAAAAACATTATCAAACTGGTCAAACAGAAGTGGTATGCCCACTATGGGCACTCCATGGTAGATGGACTCATAGATCCCATTTGTACCTCCATGGGACACAAAGGCTTTAATCTTTGGGTGACCCAAGAGGTCATTTTGGGGCATCCATTCTAACAGTAAGGTGTTGTTGCCCAAATTGTTGGGGCGCTCACCAGCATGCCTCCATATGACCTTTTGGGGAAGTTTGGCAAAGGCAGCAGCGATTTCAGAAGTGATTTCTATAGGTAGGCCTTTGACCAGAGTACCAAGAGACATCAGGATGAATCCATGTTCTCCTGAACTTTGAACAAACTCCTCCAGCTCTGATGATAAAGGCTCAGAAGGCTTACACTGAAAGCCACCAATGTAGGCGATGTTTGGCATGGTGGGTCTGGGGAATTCAAAGACAAAGTCCACCCTCATCAGCCAGATGTCTGCTCCTTGTAGAAGGTGATAGAAGTTCTGATCTGGAAAGTACCTGGATATCAGTCTATCATAGTGTGGGCATACTACAAACTTGTCAATGATTGTGTTGAAGGCATAGTAAAAGGTGTTCTTGACCCTTTGCCCAAATGTCATCTTATCTGACACAGCATTTCCTGAAATTGGAACATAGGATAATGGGGATGGAGCTACCACAAAATGCCCTTCTCCGCTGGAGGTCCATCTCACATTATAAACAGTCGGCAGCTTAAGTTCATGAGCCACCAGAATTCCCACAGGCAATCCGGGGTCCAGAAGAACCATGTCAAACTGGGTATCACGAATACTCTGCATTAGAGTCTTGTTCTCAAGTATTTCTACCACGAACATGCTGGCCTGTTGGTGAATTTTCGACAGTGCACCGAGCATTTCCCAGAAGAACTTCCCAAAGCTGATAAGAGATGCCCCTTCTTTCTGAATTGTCAACATCTTTAACAGAAGGCTTACAAAGAAGTCCTCATCCTGTAGGCTCATGGGTTCTGGTAGGGTGACAGTGATGGAGTGGTAATGTGATGCATTTTCCTTAATGTACCAGCTAGTGGATGTGTGGACCACAGTGACCTCATGACCCCTGGCATGGAGGCTCTGGATCAGGATGTTCATGTTGACCCAGTGGCTGCCATCCAATGGGAACACCAGAATCTTTCCGCCCTGGACACTGGGACTTGTCAGGAGGGACACACTCACCGCCAGAAGCAGAAGTGAAACTCCTGGGATGCTCCCCATGGATTCACTCTAAGGGAAAAGAACAAACAACTAATGGGTTTTATATCACGCTTAATTTTTTATTTTTACTGAAACTTTCTCTTAAGGGCTGCATGTGTCATAGTAATCATATGCTATATTATTAAATTATTATTACTATTACTTTAATTTTTGATATTCGTAGTAGATGTTCCTGATTACATACTTTTACTTCGGTAACATTTTCAACACAGGTCTTTTACTTATAATGGAGTATTTTGTACAGAGTGCTATTAGTACTTTTACTTAAGTAAGAGGTCTGAATACTTCCAACATTGTTCATATTATTATTTTTATTTTTTTTACAGAGAAATGACTGGACACACACATAGCCCACACTACTAAAACTTGAAATGTTGCTGGTGCTGTCATATCTTGGGAAAAACTGGGTGGACTCAAATGCAACACAGTAGGATGTCTTCAGTAAGTTATTGAAAATGGCTTAAAAGCAGGTGGCATGCAAAATACAAGTCCAACATGGGAACACAGGGAAAATGCAAGGAGAAAACCGAGAGCTAGGTGTCCACACACCAAACTGAAATGAGGTGACAACTGAAACAAGGAAACAAAAACTGATAATGCAGGTGAGGTGGAAGGGCAAAGAGACAGGTGAAACAGACAAAGACAGAAAGTAAAGCATCACAAGATACAGGAAGACGACAATTACAAAATAACTAAAGCAAACTCAAAACCATGATAGGAACAGATCAAAGTCCAGTGAAATGCAGGGTCTCGCAAACAGGCTAACAACACATAGCATACCATTCATAACCTGCAGAAGAAACATGCCTCAAGTGTCTCTTGGTGAGAAAGCTGGAAGAGGAATCTAACATGCACTCTTGCCTACAAATCAGCAACTACCAGTGATCAAAGACTGTTGAAAGTAGAGTTATTTAAAGTCCTGCACATGTTACTGTCAGCAAAGTATCTTCTCCCTCAGCAATGCTGTGAAGGCATTTAAAACTGAGTTAAGTTTATTCATGTGTTGTAGAAAAAGGAGTGAATGTTATAACTTACCTTAAATCTCTAAAACTGTGGAGAAATGCACTGTAAGTGTCCTCTGAACAAGTGAAGCGCAGCGGTGGCAGGAATCCATGAAGCCTGATTGTTGTGGTAAATTAGGAAGAGAGTGCAGTGGGGGAGGAGACGAAAACGGTTTTCCCACAGAGCCAGCCCTCTTTCTGTGCTGCATACAAACACACACACACACACACACACACACACACACACACACACACACACACACACACACAGAGGAAGCCACCCACCAGACCAGTTCTTGGTCTCAAAATGAAAGTAGTTTGTTGGGGAACAGCTTCACCAAACAACATGACTGGTTCAAACCAAGGGTTGAATATAAAAAAATCATAAAATTCATTAGAAAGTTAAAATATTAAAACAATAAAACACTTATGTTGAATCCTGATCAGTCAGACTCTGTTGGTTCAGTCAAGTGTCCAGTGGACCTGAATCAGAGGAAGATAGTGGTTTGGGGGTTTAGTTGCTCTTTAAGATGTGACTATATGTTGACTTTATCTTTTAACCATCTTTAAAGTGTAGCACATCGCATATCTAAGTACAGGAAAGGAGGAAGTTGACAAACAGGGGCGAGACTTAGGAAGGCTCACTGTAGTTTTTGTTCAGTCTGTGGAGGGGAAAGTCCTTCCAGTTTCACACATCTGTTTCCTGTCACACTTTTGGGTTTTTTTTGGGCTCATTGGGACATTTAGATGCTTTTAACACTGTATTTAATATAGTTTAAAACAGACAAATTATCCTGGGCCTCAGTGGCTCAGCCTGAGCGGGAAACTTGATTATATCATAGAATATTACAGTCTTGGTTGTCTGGTTCCTGGATTTAAAGGATAAGTTTATATTTTTCTGTCTATCTGTCAGTACTTTCTCATTTACCTGTTCTGTGTTTGAATTTCCTGAAACAGCTGCTCGCTGTAGTTTCTAGTGAACGTCACTCAAACAGGAGGAATTAGTACACTTGTTGGGGACTATTTTCAGCGATGGATTATTCCTTATCCTTTAAAGGGAGTCAGTACCATCAGTTACAAAGATTATCTGGATTCAGTTTGTACAAACCTGCATTAACCGTTTTTTCGGCCACTTTGAGACAGCAGGACGAGCTGTAAACAAGACATTGATATAATATCACCCTAAACCCAGTAACTGCTTTTTTTGGCCTCTTGGGGGTAGCTGAAACAGGTTGAGAACACAACGTTGACATATACTTGAAGTTCATATGGTGATTACAACCAGCAGTTAGAGAGCAACATTATCATTACTTTTGTGTTTCTGTTCACCTGATGAATATAAGACCAATAATCTCTTTTACCTACCAACTCCTGAAGGAAATATCTGGTTCTTTAGCAGCTAAATGTTGCACTATGTTCACTAAAACTAAGGATTTTTTAGCTGTATAAGATGTCACAGACATGGAAAAAACTATAAATGTATTTTTTTAAAGCAGATTAAGCTGTTCAGCATCGTAGCCGTCACACAGAGCTCAGGTAGGCAGTGTGCACTCAGGGTTACCAGCATAGGAGTGGGGGGACCTAGTGGGGAATACTGCTAAGGAGGGGTGAACCAACGGAGGCCGGCTCCGACCAGGACTCTGGGGATGAAGACACAGCGGGTTCAGGCAGCGACAGGAGAGGAACGAGTTTGTTTATTGTTTGATTTGTTAGTCAGGAGCAAAGCAAATCTGAATTAAACTTTTATTATGTAAGAGAAAGTCTTTGAGTCTCGCTTTAAGTTCAATTTACTGAAGTGCAACAAGCGAAAAAAGAAAAAAAAGTGAAACCAATGTTGAAACTGCTTCTGCTTTCACTGAGAGGTCATGTGTTAAAGAAAAAGGGGAAACAGCTCTTTATTAATTCACGCTTCACAGCATTTTAACTGAGGGTCTGTGTGAAGGCATGACACATTGCTGGCCATTCAACAGCTGGATTTCACCACCAACTGCCCACTATCACAATGTCCCATCACAGTGATCTGGCTGTGGTCGTCCTGGCCTTCACTGTCGGGTGGTGTCTGTGTGCAGCTGATGTCGGGGACTTCGCTCCATGCCTGCAGGTCTTCTATAAGTCTTGGCCTCCCAAAGGTCTGTCAGGGACCCCGATCTGCCAACATTATTACAACCAGTACCGCTTTGCCACGTTGTACAGTCGACCACGCCGCTCTCCGTGGTTCTCTGCCTATTTGTACTCCGTACCACAAGGAAAGAGACCCAGTGCATCTTGGAAGTTCGAGCCACAGGTGAGCAGATTTGTGTTGATTCATATTGAAACATGAATTTATATAAAGTATTAGAGAAGGTGGAGTGTTTAGCTGTCTTTATGTTTAGAGGGCAACAGAAGATATTAGTAGGCTCACACTGAAACAAGACATTATTCTTGTTCAAAAAGACTTCTAGTCCTAGTTTAGCACCATTTACATGTTTTCAGGAAATAACACGAAAAACAAGGAAATATGCCTCAGTATAGAAGAACTGGCCCATATGTGTGCTCGTGGTCTGTCAGCTCTGCATGGTCGAATACAGTTCATACTTTTTAAATTTAATAACCATGAATCTGGTACACTACATGGCCAAAAGTACCTGGAAAGCCAAATGATACATCCATTTGTGATTATTGAACAGCTCTCTCCAAAACCATGGCCATTAATCTGCTGCTATATGTAACTATATGACACCACTGTCATGTTGAAACAAGACACACATTTACTGAAATATAACTGCAAGCTGTAGCATTTAGTTTTCCCTTGGACTGTAGCTTCCATTAAATACATAAACACATTAAAGTCTTATACAAAATTTATGAAGGCTGATTCTGGTACTTTTTACACTCAAGGTCGTCTGTTTTTAGGCAAAAATAACTATAGAAATCTATTAAAATAGAATAAAATAGACCGATTTAGTATCTCTCAACCAAAACTATATTCCTGGTGTCTTGAAGGCTTTGAAAACCTTGATAAGAGTGAAAAAAACAGAATATTTTATGCATGTAAACGTCGTTAAAGGTCTGTATGACATGTAGTCAACTTTAAAACTACATCACTTCTTCCTTTAACGTCCCAATAAACAGCTAGCCTACCCAAGAGCTGATGGCAACATGATCCCCTTCCCTCCGGGCCCTCTGGACCAGAACGTGGTGGACAGCCAGGCGGTGGAGCTGGACTACATCAATTCCACCTATTCCCGTGGCCACTTGAACCCGAGCCTCCACCACCAGAGCCATGAAGACCGCTCGGCCACCTTCACCCTCACTAATGTGGTTCCCCAGAAGGCGGGCTCTAATGACGGGCCCTGGGAAGACCTGGAGCAGGCCGTCAACAAAACCCTGGGGGCCTACTGTCTTGGAGATTCTTACATAGTGACTGGCATCATCCCTTACCTGAAAGACGAGCGTTGGATCAAGAATCACCGTGTGGCTGTGCCGGAGTATATGTGGTCCGCCTACTGCTGCCCAAACTACAACAGCAGTCTGCCAGAAGAACTGAAGGGTTTGTTTCCCACGTACGCCGCAGTGGGCCGCAACGACCGCAACAGCACCGAGGAGATTGTGCCCGTTAGCCAGACAGCTAAGAAACGGTTCAGAGGATACGATGTGAGACAGATGCCACTGGAAACACTTGAGATGTATCTAAAGGACCGGTTCAATACCGTTGTCAGTGTTTTTTATGAGAAGTGCTCTGGATCAGACTGATCCTGCACAGAGACACACAGAGACTGCTTTGTTACAATAATCAGGTCTTTGAAGAATTTTTTTCAATTTAATTCAGACTAACTATAATTACAGTGTGTCCTTTCAACAAAGTCCTGCAAACAAAATGACAAAATATTAGAGAAATTATTCTTATAATCTGCCATCACTATGGTTAAGGTTTGGTTACACTGTAAAAAAATCATTTATTTTTAAAAACTGTAATATTCAGGCAGCTGGGGCACCAAAAACAGTAAACTGTAAATACTGTAAAATGACTGACTCGTACAGTCATTTACTAAAATTAAAATTAGTTTTTAGCTAACAAAAAGTAAATAAAAGTAATTATCTGTGAAATTACAGTAATTATTGTTGTTTTCAGTGATAAAAACTGTAAATGCTTATACACTGATAAAAAAAAACATTTATTCAATGTATCTGTTTAGAAAACTTTTATTAATAATTATATTAATTAATTATATATTAATTATACAAGATATCTGTTAATTAACAAACAAATCAATGTCAAATTACTGAACACTTGTCACTAATTTAACATAATTTTAGTAGTAAGTTTTAAAGGACTGTGATTTATTTATTCCTCCAAAAAGAAAGAATCAAATTTTATTGATTGATTAATTAACTGACAGCAGATTGAAACCACTCTCACATCTGTGTAAAATATAAATATGGGGGCAGGAGACAGTTAGCTTAGCATAAAGACTAGGAACTGTCCAAAGATTTAATAAAGCTCACTATTTTCTTTTCATTTTGTTATATTGTTTTGAGGCTTTTTGCTTTTTATTTGATAGAATAGGTCAACATACTGTAGACAGGACAGGGGTATAGAGAGAGGGGGAAGGGCACGCAGCAAGAACCCAGCCCCGGTACCTGGGATGTCAGCTCCACCAGGTGAGCAACCACGGTGTCTGTAAAGCTCAATAATCCCCCCCCCCCAAAAAAAAACGTCAGAATAACTATTTCATGGCGCAGTGATTTCCTGGAGTTTTGTTGTTGACACCCGACCAAGAAAAAGTCTGGGACTGTGAAACATATTTCTTGTTTTTACAACGGAGGACTGGATCTAAAGAAATATTCATGGGTTGGCCAGAGGGTGGCATGGAGACTTTAAGAACTATACACTGATTTAATCATAAACACATTTGTTATTATTTACTTGGAAAAGCCCCCAGATGTAGATGTAATGTAGAAAACATTATTGGTCCACATTAGTAGGCCAATACAAATATCTAAAGGTGGAATTAGAAGTCAAAGAATTGTTTTATTTCAGACATTTTTCTAAATACGTGTCATATTTGATCTAACTTAAGCCTATCACATAGTCCAAAATGTGTAATTACCTTTTTTTACTTAAAATTAATCTAAATAAATGTGTTTAATTTGAATTTATTAGCCACCCCTCTACATCTTTTTATTTTACAGGTTAAACAAACACTACCACTACACTTGCTACCTTTGGACAGAGCCAGGCTGTTTTCACTCTTCATGCTAAGCATACATGTATATGCATGTGCATGTAATGGTATTTCTTTTGTCTGGGTACGTGTACAATGTAATGCTTCCATTGTGGGTTTGCAGCAGTACGTGCACCAAATACGTTGGACCACTAGGTGGTGACCTCGTGCAATACATGTGACGGTGAAAAGCTGTTTGTTTGACTTCTGTTGACACTGAAGTTTCATCTTTACTGAATGAATCCAAAGAAACACCTCATCAAATCAATGTATCTTTTATCTTATAATTAAATCACTATCACTAAATAAAGTCAGTGATCTTTTGTTTTATATTTAAAACAGACACCCCACTTTAATCTATATTCTATCACATTCATTTTCAAAAGGCTTTCTGAACATGTGTAATAAGTGGAAATTATATTTATGCTTTAAATGAAGAACAATAGATATATTGCAGAGATGACTCATATAGACAAACATTAACTGTCTCAACCCGTCGGACTCGACTGTTCTGAATCTTTGTAATGATCACTCAGACACAAGTTTTGTCATATCAGACTCATTATGTATTTATTTATTTATGAACACATGTAACACTACACACCGGTGTGTCAAACTGCATTAACTTACATCACCAGCTTAGTAAGACTGTTGTGTCATTTGAGCGAAGACCTTGTCCCAGATCTCCACCTTCAGAATGGCCCTGCCCAGAGGGGACATGGTGCACATGATGTCCAGGTTCTTGCCCTGGTATGTGAGACCGCAGCCTTTGGCCTCTGCCCGCGCAAAGCCCACCTGCTCTTTGTTGTAATACATCTCTTTGTACAGACTCTCGTTGCACTCTTTCCCCAACTCGTAGATTCCCACGCCCACCCAGTTCTTGTACATGTTTTGGTCGTAGGGCACGGAGAACATTATTGCTATTTTCTCTTTGGCGCAGTTGCTCTGCCTCTCAAACAGGTCGTAGGTCAGGACGCCCACTGAGCCAGTGGCTTTGGCGCTGGTCTTGCTGAAGTTGCACACCTCGGTTTTCAGTGGGCGCACAGTGGGTTGGGGTGGGCTATGGCAGTTGCCGCTCTCCAAGTAAACCCTTTTTTATAAAGCAAAAAAAAAAAAAGTAAGTTAGATAATGAACGGCTACTAATTTTGAGAAATTAGGGCCTCATCATTCAAGCTGCTCTTCAGTTTATCCATGAAAGCAAATTAACTCTTTTTTTCAACAGCTTTACAAGTTTGCCTTTAAAGTCTTGCACTTACTTGGGGTCCACTAGGCAGTAGTTGTTGGTGATGTTGGTGATCTCAATGGTGACATTTCTTCGGCTTTTGAGGTTAGCTGCCAAAGCCTCTGCTGATTCACTCATATTGCTGCTCGGAAAGGCTGCGACGGAGCACGAGAGGTGTAAAGTTCAAACAGCAGATTTTACAATGCACCGGAGCAATTACTGTACAGTGCTAAATCCTTCTGCTGTACATCATAATTAACTAAATAAGAGCACAGGAATAAAGAAGCTTACCTCTCCGGGTTCCAGGTGTGCTGCTCGCTCAGGTAAAACCAGATTGGAAACACTGGATTCAGTCTTTAGCCCTTTCTCACTGGGGAATGTGTGACACCTAAATCCCACCCAAAACTGTCTCCACCCACAGCACACACCTTCTCCCGGTTGCTCACCGTCTCAAAACATCTTCTCCTCAGGTACGTATATACAGAGGCGTGAAGACTGGGGTGCAGCCGACAATAACAACTCTACAGTGGTTATTCTCGTTTTCAGCCGGTTTGTTCAGCTTTCCGTGACCGTCTCACATTGTCTCATGATGCGCCACACCTTTTGTCTCTGGGTCTGTGGTGTGAACCTACAATACCTCACTGAAATGTATTTTTTCCACTCAAAGTGAAGTATTATTCATTTTGTATTTGCTTAATAAATCTTGTCACCTGATGTTACTGCATACAAACATTTGTGATCATGTGTGACGAGATGGTACAAAAAAACGTGAAGGACAAGAAATCCATTATATTGTTTTTTATTCATTTAAAGCACCGATACATGACATGAATGCCAGACAAGTTGCATGTAGGTTTTCAGGAATATGTGCATCGGCTGTGTTCTTACAATTTACTCCACACCAATGATCTCATTCGATGCTCAACCTTTTTATTCTCACAGCACCACAAAGAGACTCATCTGCCCATCTTGTCATACAGCTCCAGTTTAATAATTGCCCTGCCCTCATCAGACATGCAGGCCCTCACGTCCACCATCCTTCCCTTGTACGTCACCCCTGAGCCGTTGGCCTCTTGGCGCACAAAGTTGGTGAAATCCTTTCCGTTGTACATGTGGTCGTACAGCTTGTCATCGCACGCTCTCGTGTGCTCGAAGATGCCCACCCCAAGCCAGTTCTTGTAGAAGTTATAGTCGAACGGCACCGAGAACATGATGGCCATCAGCTCGTTGCAGTGGCGATTGCGCATGTCAAACAGCTCATAGGTCAGGACGCCCACAGCTCCCGATGCTGTGTTGTCATCCTTGGTGAAGGAGCACACCTCTGTCTTGGTGGTGCGCAAGGTGGGCTGTGGGGGGCTGAAGACAAAGCCGCTTTCCATGTGCACCCTGAAGGGTAGAAGAGGGTGAATGCAGCCGTGAGTGGTGGAAGAAGTACTTAGATCCTTAAGTTAAAATACTAATATCACAATGTAACAATACTCCATTCAAAGCAAAAGTCCTATTATCAGCCAAATGTAAGTACTGTTGACTGAGATATTACTATATATGACTTTATTAGACTGCTGATGTATCCATGTGGAACAACTAATAGACATCTGGAATACAAGGGTCAGGAGGCAAAAAGGTTGGAAAACATTAGTTTAATCTTCAACAACTGGTCTACTTTTTGATCCAATCTTCAGCAGTGGGAAGTTTGAAATTGAAACACTCATGCACCTCAAGTACCTTCAAAGTTTACTTGAGTGCAGTATTTGTGCAACGGGGACACTGTCTAACAGCAGTTCTTACTTTGGGTTGACGAGACAGAAGGTAGCACTGACATTGGTGATCTCTATGACACAGTTGCGGTTGGTGGTGAGGGCGACAGCGTGGGACTCTGCAGTCTCAGGCATGTTGGCGGCAGCTGGACGACGGCTAAAAGACAGAGGTAGAGAAAAGAGCTGCGAACATCAGAAACTGGAAGTTTGCCGTCATTAAGATTTATTTTGCAGCTTATGTAGAAGGCGCCCGAAGGTTCCTTGTTAAACAGTGTCAGGTAGAGTCACCTGACACACATAAACTGCTAAGAGGCGTGCAAACAATGATTCTACATACACACTACAACACAAGGATGAAGTACGATGCACTCAGGACACCAAGCATTACATCACTGCAGCACACTATTTCATCTTTATTACAAGTTAAAGAGCTAAAGGCATCTCTACTGACCATCATCACAGACTGTTATCTACTAATATCACCACTAGACATGAAAATAATTCTAGCTTTGGTTAATACGGCATAATTCACTCAAAGTAAATGTACTTACTTTGCTTTATGTCACACACACAGGGTGGCAGAGAGTCCTCTGAAAACAGGTCTGAGTTTGGTTTGGAGACAGGTATGAAGTCACACCCTCCCAGGCACAGTCACACCTCACATACAGTCTGAGCTTACAGGAGGTGTGTCTCTTCTCTCTTTTAAGAAGACATCTGCACCAATACACATGTAATGTCATCTGTATGTTAAACTTCAATGTCTAAAGCAGTGAAAAAGAATGGATTATAGAAACATTATGTGAATTAAACGTCTCAGTACTGATATTAAGTTTGGCACAAGATGGAAAAGTACTGCTGCCACAGGCGGACAATAGATACTCCACAGTGGCTGACAGTTGCCGGGTGTAGTACCTGAATTTCTGGTAAGATTCAAAAAGTAAATAGTAGCAGCCACACCCGTCAGACCGTCTGTACCGCGAATGGTTGTGACTCATTTTAGATGGAGTCCAAACCCCAAATCGGTTCATCTGAAGGAACACATTGTGGTAGTTGGTTATGGTTTCTAATTCATTCATTACATGCACTGTCAATCTTTTCACCTCAGGCTTTTAGAAGAGACTGTCACAAGTGTTTTGTTTGAGTGCATTTCATGTGCCCAAATGGTGATGAATGAGCTAAACTTGATGCAACAGACGTTCTCATTGTTTTTACACATGTTTTCTGTATGTGGAACCTGTTCCAGCATGCACTGTAAGGTGTGTGATATTTGAACAAGTCACCAGTCCATCAGAGTGAACTGCAAAGATTCACAAACATGTACTCATGGATGGATTACTGAACGGGCCTACTGGTACAGGCTCAACGATTGAGGCACTATTTCATGTTTCAGGTGTCATTGAGTTGTATCATACATTATGAGTTTTATTCAACTTTTATATATAAATATTAATATGAATTGGTACATTTTTCCAACTCTTCAAGGGAATGCACAAGGCCAAGCTAAAGTTGCCTGAGCAACAACCTATTTGCCCTCTTTGGCTGAACTGCCCCTCTGGAGGGAGAAAAAGTTGAATTTTTGCTGCTGTGGCAGAAATGAGTGGCCCATAATTGCTAAAGTTCAAATTAAACTTTAATAACCTAAACTAGCCCCTCAAACTATCTGTATCCCTGCAACGCTTCCTTCAGCTGCTTCTCCAGCCATCAGTGCAGTTTAGCTCCCGGCTATTTCCCCAAACTTCATATTCAGTTTTCCACGTATTTCCTACATTATGGAGATTATCATCTTTTCAATCGTATTCATTATCTTATACTTTACTTTATCTTAATTGTTTTTGCTTCTTCAGCTGCTTCTTAATACAAAGTTAAGCCGACTCTGCACTTTAGCTCCAGCTTTTCGACAAACCTTAAAATATTATACATCTTTCATACATTATTGACATTATTTACATTTAAAGCCAGCAGTGCAGTTTATCATCAGCTTTTCAACACCCAGCCTTCACTTATCTTCAGAAAATGTCTTCTCTAGTTACACTTATGTACTTTTACTAAAGTAGGATTTTAAATTCAGTATTTATGTCACGTGTAATGGAGTATTTTTACTTTGTACTGATATTTTGGTTTAAGTAAAAGATCTGATTACTTCTTTCACCACTGCAGACATGCATGCATGTTTTTGGACCGTGGGTCACACCCTCTTGGCAAGGCAGGAATACTAATAACCACTGTATCACAGCACCATCCAGCATGCATACATTAAAATAATGAAACATTTCATTTCCTGGTTGCCGGGGGGGTTTATGATGCTGGCAATTCATTCACAATATCTCCGGTTTTACTCAGGTTTGGAGACCCTTGAGACTCACTATGACACTATGGTTTAATGGAGCCACAGAACAGTTTCCGGAGTCTTATAGTCGTCCAGCCAGTTGAACAACACAGTGTCATCTCTGCAACATTCATCAAAACACAAGCAGTAATACGTTTTAAATCTTATATCATTGTAGAACATTGTCTTGTTTTATTTCCCCTCATTATGTTACAAGGACCCTTCTATATTATCATTGTTTCTATATGTTATTATATATTTCTACAAGGAAAATGGTGCTGCAGTGTCTCACGGCAACAGAACTCACACATAGTATTTGAAATATGTTTCCTTTGTGTCTCCAACAAAAGAAAGCAGCTCAATCTTACTCAGATGTTAACAAGATTAGTGTCCAGCAAAATGTAGCTGATAAACATGTGCAGTATTTCTTCAGTAGGATTTAAAATGAATTAATATTTCAGTTTGTAGAGCTTCACCAAATTGTTGTATGGAGAGTAACAGTCATAACTGCAGTCGCTTTAGATTCATTAAGTGCAGCTCATCCACTCAGAGCTTTAAAGATCACAAGCTTAAACTCTTTCTTCATCAGGGGAAAAACAGAAGACGTCTTACAAACCTTTTAATCAACATAGGCAGAAATAGAGTCATCATAATTTTTTCTTTCATTTTTACTACATTAGCACCATCTTGTGGTCAAATCAAAACAACCAAAATGAAGACAGACATTTACTTCCAGCAGTTTATGTCAGACCAGCTCAATGAAACTGAGCTTTCTGCATGAGAACAAAAACATAGATTCCACAATTAAGTAGAGTTAGGAATACGTACTGAGTCTTTCTTTATAAGTTACACTACAAAGATGGTTGACCAACACTGGCACCAGCTGTGGCATGTAACTAAATACATGTACTCAAGTACTGAATTTAAGTACAATTTTAGGTGCTTGTACATGAGTATTTTAATCTAATGCGACTTTATATTTTTTAGTGAAAAAAACAGAATTATATAATATTCTATAATAATAGAACACAGTGGAAGAAGCCACTCTGCATAGTAAGTGCTTTTACTTTTGATATGTTTGGCTAATAATAGGCTACTTCTTTAGGGAGTATTTTTAGACGATGGTAATTAACTTGATAGTTTTTTGTCACCACAAGATGGCGCTCAAATGGTAACAATTATTGAAGATGTCAGTTCATAGATGATTATCCTACAAGAGGCCTTGTGTTGACTGAAAGTGTAGATGAAGTGCTTTCTAACACTTTACCTCTGTTTGTCCAGATAAAGCTGAAACATTTGGGGTTTGATTCAACATAATAACTGAATAAAGCTGATTAAAAAAGCTGAATAAATAAAGGATTCATTGTACAGTTTTGAATATAATATGAAATATCCATAAAATATGTGACTTTATGTCAGTTTACTATCAGGGTCTCTTAAGGAAAAAGGTTGGGAACTAGTGTGTTAGTGCAATTACCCTGCAGGGTTTTTTTCTTGGTACTTTTACAACACCATAAATTCAGGCTATAAAACAGTGTAATGGAGCATTATTATAAAAACCAAGGGGAATTACAAGCAGTTGCAAAAAGATAATTAAAGGCTGTAATATCACTTGTGTCCTGATTTATATTTACAGGTGTAAAAATGCTTCATCAGCAACATTTTCTGATTTATTTCAAGTCTTATATTTATACATTTTATTTATTTACTCAAGACAGTGTTACAACAGTTATTTCCAATGTGTCCTTTGGTGGAAAACAACATATAGAAAAATAAACATCAAAAATCAAATGAAAAAGTTCAGTAGTACTTAAAGAACAAAAGCCTATGAGCCCGTGGTTAAAAAATAAAATCTATGTTGTGAACGTGGCAGAAAACAACCGGATTGTACTGAACAGTGAAGATATGTGACAGTTTACTTTATGGAAGTACAATGCTAAAGTGCAGAGCTGCTTAAAAATGCAGAAACATTTGTTTATTTTTTAATTTGAAGGCAACAAATTAAAAATTAAAAACAAAACAAAAATAATCTATAAAATGTAAAAAATGAATCATTACTTTATAAAAATATAGAAGTACATAGCAAAACCATTAAAGGCAGAAAGCACCAAATAGCAAACTTGCTATTGTTTAAGTATGAAATACCCTGACGCAGCAGACACACATTGTGTGTATTGAAATGAAATGTCAGCATAAAAATAAAGCTTAAAAAATACTTGAAAAAACGATATTTGCAAGTTTTAGCTGTTTGAACAACAAATTATGTGTATTTTGTATTATTTCTGTCAGGTTTGAATGTATTTCACATCTGCCATCATTTCATAATATATTGCCACATTTATCCTCGAAGAAGAAGAGCAAACAGCTCCACATTCACTTCTGAGGGAACATGGAGCCAGCGGCGATGGATGGCAGCCCCGTCTTCTCTTCTATCCATCGGTTGTAGTTGGTCACTCTGGTGTAAACACCGGGTCGATACTCCTTTGCGCAGCCGTCGCCCCAGCTGATGACTCCGAACAGGAAGAGCCTGCTCCCGACCTCGCACACCAGAGGCCCCCCCGAGTCTCCCTGTGGGAAACATTCAGCGTTAGAGGGAATCAACAAACGGATCTGTGGAAGCAGGTTCAGACTCGTTGTGAATACCTCGCAGGCATCCTGGCTCCAGTCGGGACGACCGGCGCACAACATGTTGTCAGTGATCATGTCTTCGTAATAGTCCCGGTGTCGACACACATCGTCGGCGAGGAGGTTCACCTGAGCCTCTCGGAGGTACTGAGACTTGTACCACAAACCTGAAAACCAGACAGATACAGTGCAACTTATTATGGTTTGTACCATACATATAATAAGAGGAAGGAACAAACTAATTTCATTGACTTTATCTGACACTGTTACTCTGCACATTTTTCTTTTATGATATCTGTTCATTTTGATTTTGGAAGCTCCTTCTTGTTATTTTCGAACAGTTTAATACATACCTACTGAATACTGAAGCCTAAACATCCCTGTCCACATACTTTTGGCCATATTGTTTTAGACTTTTATTGCAGTGTAAAATCATAACAATGTTACTGTATGCAAGTGAATGCTTGCTAACTTAGAAAAGACTCATTTGCAAACCTGAAAATACACAATATGGCCAAAAGTATGTGGACATTGGTGGTCAAAGGTCCAAGTCTGGGCTTCTTGGAGCTTTCAATTGGAGCTTCACGTGGCTCAGGTGTCGGTTATATTGTGGCTGTCAGCTGATCCAAAGCTTCATTCTCTTTCCTTATTTACTTACTTACATACGTCCAAAAGTATGTGGACAGGGGCGTCTACATGCTTTCCCAAAAGAAACCTGTGAGATTCTCTATCGGCGGAAATGTTGCATCGCCATGTTTGTTTCTACACTAGATGCCTCTAAATCCTACAAACTGGTCCTTTAATTCCACAGCATACAATAATATTTTAAACCTTCCTCACCGTATTTCTCCTTCCCATATCCAGCGATCTCGCAGGTGACACCAGGCTGGAGGCGCTGCTGAGGCGGCGGCAGGCAGACGGTCTTCACCAAGTTGCTCTCCTCTGCACACTTCCCTTGATCGGCCTTCAGCTTCACCAGAGCTGCAGAACAATTATCAAAGAATCACTGCTTTGATTACATAACATCATCAATACTGAAGCATCTGGAAACGATCTCTCACCGATGTCATTGTTGAAGTTCCCTTCACTGTTGTCAAACCCTTCATGGACGATGATTTCTTCCACCCTGAATTCTTGCTCCGCAGTCGGGTCGCTCTCATTCAGGGCATTTTTCCCCAGGATGACGGAGAACCTGCGGTTTTTGGCGTGGGAGCTGAAACACAAATTCAATATAACATGAAAATTTCATGTCGATCAGATTCAGATCATAATCACCACACAAGGCTTACTTCCTATGGCCAGTAGGTGGCTATATCCATATGATTACATATTTATTTCACCTAAGCCTGAATCCTCTTTGTTACTAATTCTGTTAACCTCACATATACACAAAGCAGTAAACAAACAGAGATTTAAGTCATTGGTTTTCCTCTCCAACAAAGTCTTTAGTTGGAAGAAAACTACTTGTGCGTGATGAAGAGAAACCCGAGAAAATACGGCCATCTGCTCAAGATCTGCCGAAGTCTGGTGTTGTCTTAGCCATTACACTCGTGGTTAGTCTCCCATGGGCTTATTGTCAGCCAAGATCACACACCCTTTCCCACATTACCACATCCTCTCTTCAGAGACACAGACTAGGAACCATCAACAAAAAACAGAGGACCTCCAGACTGTCTGTGAGGAGATAAATTTAATGGATTTTCAAGCTGTCATTGGTTGTTTTTTTCCACCACTGCAGGGCTGAGCAACAAATTTCTCAGTTTCTAATGGGTGTTTAATTTCCACAAGCTAGGAAGAGGGTGCACCTTTCTTTACCCATGTATGTTAGGTTAAGTCTCCAGTCAGTACCCTTGACTTCAGTGGCCTAAACATTCCCACAACACCTCCTGAATCCAAACTGGAAGCTCCAAAAATGATAACAAGTCCAATCAGCCAGCTGTTTCTCAGCACCTGCTGTGCTTACAGTAAGTGATCTCACTTCTTACCCGTCAGGGAAACAGTGGGCAGCTGTGAGGACCCAGCAGGCTGAGATCAGACTCCCCCCACAGCGGAAAACCTTCTCCTTGGATTTACTGCGCCAAAATATGGCAGCAACCCACGGGTGGGATTCCACAGTGGCAACTGTTCCACCCACGATCTTCATCAGCTTTCTCCTGGAGCGCTGGCCACATGTGGACTCTGCAGCTGGAGGGTGAAACCGAGCTCAGTACAGTGGAGGGAGGGAGGGAACATGAACATGGGATGTGAAGAGTTGTGTGAGGTGGTGAAGTTACCTGGCTGTGGCTCAGTGGGTGCAGGCGGAGGTGCGACTGGAACTACAAGAACAAGTCAAATTAAACATGCACTCTGGTTTGGGTTTACTCGTAAAGAGAGAGAGAACGCGACTTACCCGCCTCAGAGCCACAACGGGGAATAGCGCAGTACTCAAACACCCGCTGCTGGTTCTTCCAAACGTAACACCACGGACGCAGTCTGTAGTTTATAGTCCTGTGGGAAAACAACACGTGATGTTAGAGATATTAATTATATGAGTTGGTTGAACAACTGGGTCCCACATTAACAACATATTTTGCTTAATTTACTTTCATTGTTGAGCCTTTATAAATGATTTTAATGTCACACAGAAAAACTTTAACCACACTTTCTGGGGCTTTAAAAGTGTGTTGGGCTGTTAACACTAATGAGGAAATGTTACAGATAGAAGAGACAACACTTAGTAGAAGACAATGTGTAGTGGCTATTGACCTCCTCGAATATTCTCTTTTGCTGCAGTTTCCACAACCTTGTCGGGTGTTAAACATTCATTTGAAAGACACTTTTGTCCAAAGAGACAAGAGTTCATAAAGGAGGAACCGGGGATCAAACCACAGACCCCTGAGGATTGATCGAGGGCAAAAACAGCTGAACATTTACAGGAGTTCTGTATACCTGCAGTAGTTGTGCCTCCCTGAGTTAACGTCTGAGGACAAGAAGCGCTCCCTGGTGTCTGAATCCCACTCGGCACATGTTCGTCCACTCTTTGATTGAGACACTGTGCCTCGGTAGAACAGCCCCAAACCGTCGTAGCAGTGGCTGCTTTTCACTAAAGGAGCAGAAATGTGATTTAAAATGTGAAAAACATAAATGCAAACTAGTTTTCTGTTAATACAATTTGTTATTTTAACAAAGAAATTGTAGAAACGGATAACATTTTAAGTAACACAAACTAAATTTACTTTTTTAAAAGAAAATTACTTTTACAAGTAATTTTAAGTGACTCTAACTTAGTTTTGTAAGTTAGAAAAACATTCCTGATTATGAACTTTCACAGTGCAGTGTCACACAAAATTACTAAAGCTAATTAATCAAGAATGTTTTCGATGTAAATCAGTTTCAACAATTCTTTTTGTTTACAGTTAAGTTTACAGTTAAGCTTCTTACCTTTCTCACAGTTACTCCCCTCGAAGCCGTCGGCACACAAACAGAACATGTGTTCACCAGTAGTCAGGGATCGGACAGAGGTGCCTCCGTTAAGACAGATCCCTCCTGCAGGACAAATTACACACTTCATGCTCAAAAACAGCCTGTTAATACACAGCCGGGGGCGTTTCCAGACTTTATTGAGTGGGTAGGGAGGACACGAGTGGGGTGCTTACTTATACAGGGGTGGCATAAAGCAGGGGTTCCCAACCTTTTTCCTTAAGAGACCCTTATCTATCTTTGAGTAACCTGACAACCCCTGACTGTATTCAACAAACACAGAACAACTGATAGACTGTAACTGAAAGTTTGTGTAAAACAACTGATTACAATGAAGATAGATTTCCTGTAAATAATTCACCAGAGATTAGTTTTCTGATATTTTTAGGATTTTTTTATACAATTAAATGTACAGCCCCCCTATGAAGTGTTGGTGAATCCCTAGTGGGGGGTTAGGAACCACTGGCATGTGTCTAGTATGTGTCTCAGCTTTCCCTTAAGTGTGTTTTCCCACAACATTTTCATTCAGATATCTTGATGATATCTGCTACAGCCTCTGAAACACAGGGTGGAGTGGAAGAGGCAAGGGGGCCACCCCAGGGGGGCCCCCTTATGGAAACAACCCTGTGAACTTAAAGAATGTGGAGTTTCTCACCTGAACTCTCAAAGGAGGAGGAGAACGAAGAGGAAAATGACAAGGAGAAACCAGGCAATGCCTTCCGTTTTTCTCTCATTAAGCCCTAAAAGTACAAAATAAATGTTATAAACTCTCGTTGTTTGAATGTTTCAGTAAAAAGAAGATTATAATCGTCCTTACTGCCTCAGCTGTACCCAGAGCTGCCAGGATGAATATCAGCGCGCCAACTCCCTCCATGGTTCTCATGTTGCCTCTCTGCACAGATCCAAACAGCATGAGCCTGCTTGCACACGTATGTATGGGAACCTCCTCGGGGTCCGTCCCGTTTTGTTTGCTCTCGTGCGGGGCGGAGGGAGCGCCGTGATTGGCCGAGGACAGCTTTTCGTCACTTTGATTTGTTTTGAGGGAAACAGCAGGGCGAGTGGATTTGTGAGAACTGTTCGCTTACATCAGGTCACAGGAAGGGCATCAGTGAGACTGGTATGTCAGAAGCTCTGGGGTGTCAAATTGAACATGCAGCTGTTTTATGTGGGGAAATTACCAGATTATGGATTTAAAAAATCTGGATGATGGTAAAAATGATGCAGTGAAATGTGTCTATGAGTGCCTGGACATTACCTGCAGTATGTCGGTTCCCACGCCCTCAGAAAGTCCCACCAGTGACACATTATTGGGAAACTGATGCTGACTGATGTGTTATTAATCAAGAAGAAACAGTTTCGGTCTTTAATGGGTGTGTCTTTAATGTCTCTGTAATACTAAATTTGGACTTTTGGACATTTACAAATGTTTGATTCATTCATTTTCATTCTTTGCTTGTTTGTTTCTGTGCTATAGTTTGAATATATTACATTTAATGCTCTAATTATGTGTCATTATTATGTTTTGTACCCAGTCTTTACACTGTGTTCCAAATTATTATGCAAATATGATTTCAATTAAAAAAACAAATTTTCAATGAAAGTTTTCAATTGTTCTGCTTCCCATGTCTGTTTAGATCACTGACATCAATCTCAGACAGGTCTGTCTTTATTAGTTTGCCAGGTAAGCCTAATTAATGAGAAACTACTTAAGGATGTTGTTCCACATTATTAAGCAAGTCACAGGTTTCATGCAATATAGGGGGGAAAAAGTATCTTTATGCAGATGAAAAGCGTGAAATAGTGCCATATCTTTCAATAGGTATGAAACCACTGGATATTTTACGAAATATTAAGAGAGATCATCGTCCTATGAAAAGATCTGTGTCTGATTCAGAGCGCAGATGGGTTCGTTCAGATAAAGGCGTGTTAAGGAAAGTTTCTGTAAGGCTAATTCATCGTATTCAGAGAGCAGCTGTGAAAAAGCCACTGATGAGTATCAAACAGGTATTTGAAGCTGCTGGTGTCTCTGGAGTCCCAAGAACCTCTCGACGCAGGATCCTCCAGAGGCTTGCTGATGTGCATAAAGCTGTGTTTCGGCCACCCTTAAACAATGCCCACAAGGAGACATGGTTGCAGTGGGCTCAGAAATACATGAAGACTAATTGTCTAACAGTTTAATTCACTGATGTATGCCGTGCTACACTGGATGGTCCAGATGGATGGAGTTCTGGATGGCCACCATGTCCCAACAAGGCTGCGATGTCAGCAAGGAGGTGGTGGAGGATGTTTTGGGCTGGAATCATGGGAAGTGAGTTGGTAGGCCCCTTTAAGGTACCTGAAGGTGTCAAAATGACCTCTGCAAAATATGTGGAGTTCCTAACTGCCCATTTCCTGCCATGGTATAAAAAGAAGAACCGTGCCTTCCGGAGTAAAATCATTTTCATGTAAGACAACGCACCATCCCATGCTGCAACAAATACCATTGAGGCCTAGGCTGCTATGGGCATTAAGGGAGAAAGAATCACGGTGTGGCCACCATCATCTCCTGACCTCAACCCTACTGAGAACCTGTGGAGCATCCTTAAAAGGAAGCTCTATGAGGGCGTGTGGCAGTTTACCTCAAAACAGCAGCTCTGGGAGGAAACTCTGGCATCCTCAAAGGAAATCCAGGCAGAAACTGTACATGGAGAAACAAGTTCAATGGTTGAGAGCGTTGTTAATGTGATATCAAAGAAGGGCTCCTATGTTAATATGTAACTCGATCTTAAAAGATGTTTTTGATTTAAATAGCTTTGATTTGAAAGAAATTATCCTCTAATGCAAAAAAATACAACAGATTTCGGTTTTCAATCCTTTAGAAACTATTGAGTGATTTGAAACTCTGTTTTACATAATAATTTGGAAAACTGCATTTTGAGTTATTTTGCAAATAATGCCATTATCATCATTGGTAACTGTGTTTAATAAAATCCAGATTACGATATAATTGTTGAGGAATAAAAAATCCTATTGACTGCAAATTATATCGACTATTTAGTAAGAAATGCATAATAATTTGGAACACAGTGTACATATTTCCTTTTAGTTTTAGATATTTACTGACGTTGTTGTTGTTCAAGACGTGCTTTGACCATTATTATTCCTTATTTATATTAATGATTTGTCTCCAATGTCCTTTAACCCATAATGTTTGTTGCCTTGACAGCGGCCACAGTGATTGACAGACTGACCACAGCGGTGTAGCAGAACCAGTGAGCTGGTAGTCAGAGAGTTAACAGAGCTAATGAGCTGTCAGACTCTGTGTGTCCGAGCTGGAAACACAGAGAGAGTCCTTTGGAGATTTTAGAGTCACTAGAAGCACATTCATGGCTGTTTGTAAAAGTGTCTGTGCGCTCTCCGGTATGAGTGTGTGTTTGTGGAGGGATCAAGATAAAGAGTGCAGTCTGGTGCTTCTACAGCATCTAAAGCATTGAGCCAGAATATATAAATACTAAGTAGAGGGTTAGCAACAGCTAGCACAAACTGTCACAGTACAGTCTATACTTATATCTATACACATAATTCAGTTTACAGCTCAAAAAACACGTTTTAGGGTGAAATACCTCTTTAAATAAATTATATTTGAATATTAAATATCTAATTTTATCACTTTTAGATGCAAAAATCCTATTTTCACGTCACTGAGTAAAATGTTACCATATATGGCATTGATGGAGTAAATCCTTGTCTCTGATTGGTTAATCCCACTCACAGTGAATAATAATGTCATTTTCTTCAGCGTTGAGGATAATTTTTATTTAAGTTTTATTTGAAACTCACAGATTTTTACCCCCGAAGCAGAAATGTTCTTTATTTGGAGAAATGTTTGCAGGAATAAGATTTACTGGTGCGAGTTATAGGAAGTTATTAAAGGTATTGAGTGTATAAAAAGTAAAAACATGCAATAATAATCTTTTTATCTTTTATTTTATTGTTTGTATAATTAATATTGGCACTGAAGCAGGGCTGTCGTTTGTGTTAAATTTAAAGAAGTGACACCTTCAGGATTAGTTTGTTTTACCAAATGTATTATTATTACAGAAAGTCGTTTTATGTAATTTAATTTATGACAAAAGACAAATTTATGACATAAAAATAAAGTATAAAGGATATTCACTGATGTTGTATCTGATAAACTCATCTGTTCTTTAATGAAGTCAGATTATAGTCTGAGTCATTCACTGGATGTCACTGTTGCTCTATGAACACCAGAGCTCATTTATCCCGATTGTACCTGAAGTATCGGTGGATCCACTCTTCATTGTCTGTTTGAATCTGAATAAATAAAACATTATCTACATTTAATATTAATGACATGAGGTAGAAGGATGATACAGGTGATGATGATGGTGATGATGATGATGATGGTGATGATGATGAAGAGTGTGTCAGTCTTCTTACCAACCTGCATCTGAATCATTGTCTGATATGTAAATGAAGGCGGTTTTAATCACTGAACAACGTGAATGAAAGCAAATATGTACTTTAGGATCCCGGAAGTGGGGTTAGTTTGGATCCTGCTTGGTTTGTGTTACGTTTATGTGCCGTCGGATTTATTAAACCTCTTGAGCAGACAGACAAACATAAAATTTTGAACGCAAATACGTTGTGTAACATGATTATAGGGTCACTCTTACAGAAGCAGTAACATTATATTATGTAACAAAACATTATATTTTAAAAACGTGTTTTTAGCCTAATAAACCTCATTATTATACAATTTTGTGTTTTTTTTTGTTTGTGTGTTTGTTTTTTGTTTTTAATTCTTTTTAATTTGCCAGATTTATTTAATTTAATTGTCGTATTAAATTGTTTGAATTTACGTTTTCCCCATGTTAAGCACTTTGTAGCTTTGCTTTGAAAGGTTCTACATAAATAATGATTATTATTAACCTATATATAATTATAATGTATAGTTTAGTTAATTTACAGTTTATATGTTATTATTGTTGTTTTAATGATTCTGTGTAAACCTGCAGGATCGTTTGTGTTTTCTTTTCTTCTTTTTATTGTTTGTTTTATGTATTTTTTTGTGATTTTGTTTTTCTTTTGTGAGTTTGTTGTGGTGTCCAAGGTAAAAAAAATATATATTATAACCTAATGGAAATTAAATTATACATTCTTTGTCTCACGGTTGCTCGTTTTCTTTAAATAAACTCAACCCTGTAGTGAGAGTTACAACATTAAGAATCAGCAGCGGCTTATTCTGACACGCATTAGCTTGAAGCTGCAGTTTCCGAGGCGGTCCTGAAGGCAGCAGAGCGCAGTGGTGGATGAGGAGATTATCCTCCTTTACGGCGACTCAGTGTTAACGCGGATCCAGACCGGCCAGGAGGTGGTTTGTGACACAAAATGGGAAACGCAGACACTAAACTTCACTTCAGGAAAGCGGTGATTCAACTCACAACCAAAACACAGGTCGGTTTTTCACAATAAAACACCTGCAGAGGCACAGACACGGCGGTGGAGCGCGTCGGTTGCGCGTTTGTGGGTTTTAAATACAGCCTGTGGAGATAAAGTTAAGAGTGCCAGATGGTAGCCTGAACTGCAGCCCAGATGACACAAAGTGGACAGAAAAAACCAGGATAACACCGCAGTCAGTTTATATTTCTGTTTCCAGACAGAACTCAAACATATCCTCTGAAATATTTCTATTTTCTTCTGTTTGTGTTCACTTTAAAGAGGCTGGGAACTCTCATATCGGCCTTTTGGATCGTTTGAGTCCTTCCTAATGTATGTTTATTTAGTGCAATGATCCTTAAATAACAAGAACATGTAACATGTGACCTGAAAACATGTTGAATTTAATTAATGAGCTCCTCTAGCAGGTGCATTTAAGGTGGAACTGCCCACATACGGTTGTTATCTATAGTCTCTTTCATTGTATGTGAGTTATGGCTGCAACATT